TGGGGTTGGGTTGGTGGTTGGACTTGATGGTCTTAGAGGTCTTTTCCAACCTTAGTGATTCTAGGATTCTATGATTAACATGGGCTTTGTGGCTTTGTCCCACTCCAGTGGGTGAACTTCGTGGAAATGCTTGTAGGAAAAGGCTTTGACCTAAAACATCTCAACATCTTATACTGGATTGTAAAAGCCTCTTGGGGTTTTTTTTTGGTCACTGAGCAACACAGGAGTGCTACCTCCCCCCCCACCCCCTTTTGATGTCTGTTAACGGAAGCCTTAAGTCATTCTGTTAGGTGTTGGGTATTGGGTTGATGGTTGGACTGCATGATCTTAGAGGTCTTTTCTCTATGACAAGTTGAAGCTCTGCAAGCTTCTTGCCTGAGTTACAGCTTCTTGAAATGGAAGCAGAAACTAGCCCAGAAGTCACCTGAAGCAGAAGATGTATTTCAGAGCCCTGTGGTGGGAGTGTGGGGCTGCGCTGGGCTTGTCTTCCCTTCCCTCGCTTATCTCTACTGTTGGAAATCCTCTCCTTCGCAACCCCTTGAATCTGCTAACCCAGCTCTCTTCTTATAAGAGGATGAAGAAGAATAAAAGCCAGATTCAATTTTGATGAAAAGGAGCTGAGCCGAACAAAATGACAAGCTGAACCAATTTTGGCCTCACTTCCAATTAAATCCTGATAGGAGGTTAGCATAAATTAGTATTATTGCCTCTCCCATGGGGGCAGGATAATATAAAGGCATAAAAATCTTGCTTTTAAAATCACTTTGGTTTACTTCCCAGTATCTCTTGATTTTACTCCAGTCTATACCAAATGCTGGTATTAAAATTGTCTTCCTTCCTCGACACAAATCATACCACTTTGCCTGCTAAAATACCCTAGAACTCCATCTCTTCTGCTGCATCAGCTGGAGGCTTCTCACCTAGCCTGGAAAGAATTCCTTGTCTTTCTCTCTCTTACCCCTTTCCTGCTGGCTAACCTTGAATTTCTCCTTCCTAAACAACTTTTTCATCCTTGTGGGATCTTCTCTGGTTTCAGACTACACCTGAGGAAGAAAATCCCATCTTTTGAACGATAAGAGAGTGAGAAGCTCATGAAATGGTCATTTCTTTCGCACGTGGATACGCAACGGCTGTTTGTTTTGAACAGCACTAAGCATACTCTACTTGAGTGATAACTTAAGAGGGGATTTTTCTGGTTGGTCTCAAAGGTTGTGTGAGATTGTATCAGCCTGAAGAGGAATTGTGATAAAAGGGAACTCAGGATAGCTCTGTCTCGGTTGGGAGATGTGCCTGGGTCAGCAAGTCCTCCAGGAAAAGGAGTTGTTCTTGAGGATCCCCTTCGGAGTATTAATTAACTTAAATTGGGGAAACCAGTGTAATGTGTGTTGTAAGAATCTGTTCTGTTGTGCCAGGAGCACACCCTCGGAAGGTGGGGTGGATATAATGTCTTCTCACAGCTAATTTTACTGATGGGAAGAGTATGAGACTGGTTCAGGAGAAGAAAAAAAAAGGAATTGTAGAATCACAGACTGATGGAGGTTGGAAGGGACCTCTGGAGGTCCTCTGGTGCAGAGCTGGTTGCCCAGGATCGTTTCCAGGTAGCTTTTGAGCATCTCCAAGGATGGACACTCCATGACATCCCTGGGCAACCTGTGCCAGTGCTCAGTCACCCGCAAGGTGAAAAAGTGTTTCCCAAAGTTCAGACGGACCCTCCTGTGCCTCTGGTCCTGGCACTGGGCACCCCTGAGAAGAGCCTGGCTCCAGCCCCTTGGCACCGTCCCTTCACATAGTTACGTACGTTGATGAGATCCCTCTGAGCCTTCTCTTCTCCCGGCTGAGCAGTCCCGGCTCTCTCAGCCTCTCTTCGCAGGAGAGGTGCTCCAGCTGCTTCATCATCTCCGTGGCCCTTTGCTGGACTCTCTCCAACTTAATCATCATTGAGTTACTTATCCTTGTGCAGTAAAAGTGTACAGAGTACCCACAAATGTGGAAGGAAGAGCAGGAAACCTACTGTAGTGGGAAGACGGAGACTGATTTACATCGTCAACCCCGAGATATTTGTGTAACTGCACGGGGTAGTTGCGGTGGCACCAATGGAAATTATAGAGACATTGGGAATGATTTCAGTAATGAAATGCTGGAAGTCTGTCTTCAGAGTTTCAGGTAGGTTCTGTTCAATCTGTAGACAACCGAGAACTGCTTCATCTTGCTTTCGGTGGCATTTCTCGAGGGGGAGAAATTATATTGACACAATAAAACCAGGCATAAAATGCAACAATATTAAAAAATGTGGTTTGAAATTTGAAATGTCTGTTTTGCAGATTTTTTTTAAATAGAAATGGCGTCCTGCTCTAAAATATTTGATGGCATTACAATTTGATCACAAATTACAAAGAATGAGCCTAAATGGCCGATGGAGTCGCACAACCTTTTATCTTTTCTTCCTATAATGCATGTTTGCTTTACAAATTAGGTGACTTCCTTGGCTAGTTGTTCTTCATCTCTTTGAGACAGCATATGGGTGACCCAGTGTTTCGGTTGTGTTCATTGTGAATGTCTTTCATTGCAGTAGAACTATGGCTGGTATTCCGTGTCACGCTGATTTTCCTGAGACAGCGAGTTGTGAATTCTTGTGAACTTTGCTTTGCTTTCATCATTGGCTTTCCACAACGTGGTACCATCACAGAGTTGACAAGGAAGAGAGCTGGTTTTGCTGAGTCTTCCTTGTTCTGTATGAAACAAGATCCCAGCTCCCCTCTACTCTTCCCTGGTGAGGCCCCAGCTGCAGTACTCTGTCCAGTTCTGGGCTCCCCAGTTCAAGAAAGACGAGGAGCTACTGGAGAGAGTCCAGAGGAGGGCTACGAGGATGATGAGGGGACTGGAGCATCTCTCCTACAAGGAGAGGCTGAGGGAGCTGGGCTTGTCCAGCCTGGAGAAGAGAAGACTGAGAGGGTACCTTAGAAATGCCTCTAAATATCTGCAGGGTGGGTGTCAGGAGGACGGGGCCAGACTCTTTCCAGTGGTGCCCAGCGACAGGCTTCTCTGGAGATATTCCAACCCCGGCTGGCCGCGGTGCTGTGCAGCCTGCTCTGGGTGACCCTGCTTCGGCAGGGGGGTTGGACTAGATGACCCACAGAGGTCCCTTCCAACCCTGACCATTCTGTGATTCTGTGATTCTGTGATAAATGTAATGTCAATTTATCCTATAACTCAATATCATCATATCAGAGGTAGTGCTGTGTCTGTGTCGTGACTCGTTCTCTTGTTGTTTTCTGTTCCAGAGTCGACAACTGGAATCGGAAACTGGAACGACTGAAGAGCACAGCCTCAACAAGGAGGCTCGGAAATGGGCTACCCGGGTAGCCCGCGAGCACAAAAACATCATCCACAGTCAGCGGGTAGGTCAGGATAACGTTCTTTTACAGATTTTACTTGTTGCAGCTCCCCACTGCATGAAAGAGGAGCTGCTGCGAGCAGCAAGCATTTCTTTGTGTCCTGTTTCACCTTACCCTTGCTTGGCGTGGTACACTGCCAGGTTAGCAGCTCCTCAGACTTTTTGCTTTGTCAATACATTTTGTGATTCCCATACATATCTAAATTTACAGCTTCTACTTTAGTGCGAATAACAGAACTACCTCTAGTGTACACAGCGTCCTTCTCTTTGAGCTAAAGTTTTGGGGGATTCTCTGATCTCCAGTGTATCACTTAAATATTACCCGTAGAGAGAAATGTATTCATTTGCATTTCAAAAGTCTCTTCAACACTAGGAAAATCCACGATTAACGCGCACTTAAATCTAATGTGAGGACACAAAATTAATGATAAATTTATTTTTGCACATGTATTTTTACATATACACGTATGTGGCTTAACAGAGAAGAACCTAAGGCTGTATTTGGACGTCTGAACTGGGGCTTCAGGTAGCTGTGTTTTGGAATGCAGCTGAGACCATCTAGGAGTGAGAATAAATTCAGCCCTTAGAAATCCATCCCTTGGGTCATGGAGTACCTGAAACATCTTATGCTCTTCTCTGAAGAGAGAGTTGGGATCCAAGCTTCTTGTGCTAACTTCTGCCTACAAAGACCTATTTGACACACTCAAGTCAAGCCTAACTTGCAGAGACTACATCAAATTTGGTTGAAGATGACGTCTCCATACTACAATGCCTGCAATACTGGGTGATAGGCAATGAGCTTCGGCCCAGGACGGGAGGGACCTGGCTTCTCGTTCCACTGTAGTCTTCAGAGATTTGAGCCATTCCTCAGACTGCCCAGGGGAATGCACCAAGCAAGAAGACCAAAGGAGGTGTTTACCATCTTACCCGTCTTCTGCAAAATACGTAGTCATTGAACTGGTCACAGGTTTGCAGATGACCGGTGAAGATTTCTGCAGTCCCATGCTTCTGTTGTTTTTCGTTTGGATCTGTAGAGTCAACGTAGGTGTACGTGAAGCTGAGAAACTCCACCGTTGTCTCCTGTGGTTCAGAAAATCCTCCTCTGGACGCAACGTTCCTGCAAATGCAGCAAGCCTGTCTTGGCTTCCCCTGCAGCGAGCTACCGTTAGCATCTTCTCACTCCAAGTTGAAGAGGTTCTTTTTCAACGTGACATAAACGGGGCCCAACAAACCCCTTTTAAATATGTAAATATCAATATATAGATGAGCTGACTGGCACCACAATATCGTGTTTTCATGAAGGTGTTGAAACATTCCACTGAGTGGAATTTCCACGTGAAATATTGTGCTCTTAAATGGTGCTTTGTCTTGGTCTTCATCTTCTTTTCCTGAAACACACTGTTGTTGGTCAACCTAGGGTCTAAGCAAGCAGTGATTTCCCTGACTTGTTGTAAATACTTGTCGTAAATGGCTTGCTAGCATTTACTACGTCTGCGGTGTATTTTCTTATTTCTGACAGACACTGGAAGAGCTGGAATGCCACGGGCCGGTGATGTCTGAGCAAACGCGAGCAGAACTGGAGCAGAAAATAGATGAAGCCAGAGAGAGTATTCGCAAGGCTGAGGTAAGAAGAAAATTATTTTGGCGTGTTCAGCGTCTTACCACAGAAAGATTTCTGTTACAGCTATTTAATTTTGTTTGTGGAAATGGTAGCTTTTAGCACCAAAAACCCGGGAATGTAAAAATGTCCTTGGTTTGCTTGAATTCCTACTTTTCAAATCACTGAATGAACTCAGTGAGAGACTCAAGATTAGAAGAGTAATGGTAAAAATAAAACCTCCTGATGAAGAGTGGTTAAACTTGTGCCCTGGCTGCCAGGAGGGCCAATGGGATCCTGGGGTGCATCAAGAAGAGTGTGGCCAGCAGGTCGAGGGGGGTTCTCCTTCCCCTCTACACTGTCCTGGTGAGGCCACATCTGCAGCACTCTGTTCGGTTCTGGGCTCCCCAGTTCAAGAAAGATGAGGAGCTACTGGAGAGAGTCCAGCGGAGGGCTATGAGGATGGTGAGGGGACTGGAGCATCTCTCCTACGAGGAGAGGCT